GTCTTCAAGGTTATTAGCCAGGATAGCGGTATCATCTGCGTAGCGGATATTGCTTATTGGGACGCCATTGACTTTGATACCTCAGGTTTCATTTTCTAATGCTAGTATAATTTTTTCCACATAAATGTTAAATAGAATGGGTGACAGTACACATCCCTGACGCACTCCCTTCGAAATACCAAACTTGCATTTTTTTTAATGGAATGCCCTGTATATTATTATGTTATTAGTGTCTGCGATCGAAATAAATGTGAGTCTTATTCATGTTTATCATACTTAAAGCTTATGGTTTCTGAGATATTTATAGTTTTGTGAAAATGCAGACCTTTTTTTAAAGTTTAAATTATCGACACCTTTTTGCTTGCGGCTAGTAATAAATCCTATTTCATGCGAAATTATTCGACTACGTCATATAGGATGTCCCAAAATTGTGTTGAAACAATTGCACGTTTTGAACGTTAATAACTTGCTTAATTTAAATGGAACACCCTGTATTTGCTCGGTTAAGTCGTACTAAATACAGTAGCTGTATAACACGATAATGACCGTTCAACGTTTGATAGAAACAAACAACACGGCGAGCGTGGAAACCACTGAAAGATTTCTTATAGATTTTTCTTGACCTACAAATTTCAAGAAATGGCGTACTGCAACTTTACAGATTTTCGCCATAAAACTTAATTTTTAATATCAAACATTCGTTCTTGCTAACGTTAAAAACTGATGTTGTGAAGTGAGGATATGATATGCAGTTGATCAGTTCTGTAATATATTGTGCTCTCGAATGAAATTTATATAATAAGTGTACGTATTGAAATACAGATACTAAACTCAATTTAAACTATGGCAAAAACTGACGGAATCAACGTGATGTTTATTAGAAAAAACTTTCTTAGAAGAATTTATTTAGAATTTCTGGGAAACAGGCGATTTATGGAAAAATAAATGAAGAATAAGCTCGTCTTCACTCACTCGAATATTACATGAAATTATTAAAAAACGATCAATTGGACGAGGTGGAACAGTCCCCTGACCTAAGCAAACGGCAGTTTTAACAATCGGGATTTCCATTTTGAGGGAAAACCCCAGAAAATTTTCAACATATTTAGCCTCAAATGTCTCGATAAATCAGATGAAATCGATACACGAAATTTTGCTGGTTCTGATTTGTGCTTCCGCGCCGGTTAAAAGCCTAAGTTAGTATTCAGAATTTCTCTCAAATGATTCAGCCGAATATTACATAACACGATTGACTACAGATTAATTGGAAGAAGTTTTCGCCAACTTTTGAACTTTTGCGCGATTGGTGTGTCGTTCCCGAACCGAGCGATATGAGCGTAAGTGTAAAGGCACCTATTGTCAGCAACCGGTGGGCTAAAGATATTCTGTATGTCGTTTGGTACAAATACGCCTGCTATTAAGCAAATACATCCGCTTTTTGTGGGTCATCACGAGCCCAATTGCTTAGTCCTATTCTAATAGGCGGTATTGACACAACTAGTTTTCGAACTTTCTTTGAGACAAACAAGGGACATTTTTAAAAGAAACGTAAATTGCTGACATAAAAACGTAACAGCAAACAAAATCATAATGTAAAAATAAAAAAAAAACATTTTCAAATGAAAGAAATCTAACAAAACTTAATACTAAATAAAAGTTCGCAAATTGTTCGTCACAAAAGGCGATGAATTGACGAACTCAGGAAGTTGTGAGTTCAGGAATTACCGAATTTCTGGCCCGCTTAAGGGAAGATACTTAGATCGTTAAGCGCTCAAGGATGGATAAAAAACGGGGATAAAATAGTCCACAATTCACCAATTCAAATTCATATATTCGCTTGTCTCTGTCTGTCGTCTTAAGTGCATATCCTTAACTGCAACTTTTGTGTTCCATAACTACTGTGAGCGTGCGGTTGGATGTGAGAGAATGTAAATTATAATGTATTTCTAAATACTTATTAAGCAATTAAATTATAAAGAAACGCCAGCTTATTGCAAACTTACTCAATGCAAACGCTCTGGGCGTTTAAAACATGAGAACAAACCGAAAACTACGACGCACCAAACTCTAGATATGTAGGCTGATTCAACGTTAAAAGATTCAATAATTTAAACTGGCGAACTTGTGACGTATTCCCCCCAAATAAAAGTTGTAAGCTGAAGAAAGAGTTTGATACTCGGCCATCCACGGTACAATACAAATTAAAACGATACATATTCTGAAAGTTAAATCTTAGTAACTATCAACAATTCATAGCGCTCAAGTTGACAGCGACAGCTGGTTGTTTAAGATTCAACATGTAGATGGCCTACCCTTTATAGTACGTACTTTCCTGACTGTGTTTCAATTCCAAAATTAAAATCAAGTCCTGGGTTCTTCAGTCATTTATTTATTGTTCATTTATCAATTTAAAAAAACGTTTCGGTGTTTTCCACCATCATCAGTTTTACTAAAATAACAGGTAGTCAAAAAAAAAATTTTTAAATGTTCTCATTAATCTAAAAAACAATAACAGTTTGTCAATAGCTTGTTATATCACATACTAAAATACATTACAATTGCAACATTTTAAAATATTCTGAGATTAATTGGTCTTAACAGGTGATCAGCTAGGACAATCAATTCTGGGAAGAGACTAGAATTCTTTGTTCAAATGTTCAATTATTTTTACTTACATGTGTAGCGTTGTTGCTACTTTACGCCTTGGCATGTATTTGGA